AAAAAAAGAAAAGAAAGCGACAATAACAACTAGTGCTCAATTAACTTTCTCTTCGTTTTCACCTGTAATCGATTTTCCGCCGCTGCCGCTGTCCTAGCCGCTACCGCCGAGTGCCAACACCAAAACAAAATGATAGTCTGTGTGTATTGTTATTGACAAGAAGGGTTCCGCTGCTGCCAGCACTCAACTTCTGCTGAATTACGTCATCGCTCGTTGATTAGTCCAACCAACTTTGCCCTTCCCCGCTCTTTCTCCTGGAACACACAATTTTCGTTTTCCCCCGCAGTCTTACCTAAACTGTAGCCAGAGGCGCTCTGAAGAGTTGCGTTCTCGGCCTGAGCAACCGCTCCGGCGAGCTCCGAATAGGAGAGAGGCTGAGCCGACGGCGGCGGTGGTTCAGGCGAAACGGAAGCGGTGTGTCGAGAGTTGTTGGGGACTAGAGCGTTCCAGGCGGAAGGAGAAGGCGGTGGTCTGACCGGTGGCGGCGAAGAGCGACGACGCAGTTGGGAGAACGTCTTGCCGGTTTGCCAGCTAAGGCTGAGGCAACTACTTTTAAGAAGAGGATTTGAGAGAAAAGGAAGGAAGGTTTCCTCGCTGTCAGCACCAACAAGGTTTTGAAATGCACTCACAGGCACCAGTTCTGTGATGAAATTTCCGAGAATGCGAGATCTGTGCAGTTGTCAAGATCAGCTGTCGTTTGTGGCAACAGTGGTAGTAATTTCCGATTATTACGTCTTTGATTGATCGACTGACGTCTGTCGGTGAAGACCGGGAAGCAATTTCCGACTGGCGTTTTTGCCGTTGTTGCTGCTGCTGCTGTTTTCCTCTGCTGTTTTTGAACACCCGCTCACCTCCACCGAGCCTCTTCTACCTTCCGCTTTGTTGATCACCTTTGGACTGATGGCGCCCAGCGGTTCGCCGATGCGCGACGGATCACAGGCAAGGGCGATGGTGGTGAGGAAACGAGCTCCACGAGCCAACTGGTGACGACTCGGCTGAGGAGTTCGACAGAGTACTCGTATTGTTGTCGTGGTTTTCTTTGTTTGCTCCTCAAACGAGTTTCCGTTGAGGTAGTGATGGCTGAGAACTTCAGGTGAAATGGACTTTTTCTCCAACACTTCTTCCGACACCTTCTCGCCTACGATCACGTCAATTGAGTTTGCTTTGTGGAGTTTAAAGTGCGATTTTAGTTTGGTTGTTGTCGCCGTCAGCGGTGCTGGAAGTGTTATGTTTGGTTTCAAAGAAGGTGGTAGTCCTCTTTTCGGTTGTGCTGTTGATGACTTTTGTTGTGTTGCTGTTGTTGATTGACGATGCTGGACGTCGTCGACAGTCACTGGAGTCACTAGGCTTGGCGCCAGTATGACAGTATGTCGGCTCAGTTATTATTCAGACTAAAAAGGACGGTCAGTTGAAAAGTTAGAGCTGAAAAAAGCAGCAGACAAGTAGAGCTGCTCTTCTTTTAGCCAGCACAAAAACCAGTAGAGAAAATAAAGATATTGCCACCGCTGAACTTGACTTTGACTGACTGCCTGGCTCCGCTAGACTAGGCTAGGCCAGCGGCAGCGGTTGATAAAACTTTGGGGGAGCTTACTGGAGCGATCATGAATTTGCCGACTTAAAACTGAANAGAGCTGAAAAAAGCAGCAGACAAGTAGAGCTGCTCTTCTTTTAGCCAGCACAAAAACCAGTAGAGAAAATAAAGATATTGCCACCGCTGAACTTGACTTTGACTGACTGCCTGGCTCCGCTAGACTAGGCTAGGCCAGCGGCAGCGGTTGATAAAACTTTGGGGGAGCTTACTGGAGCGATCATGAATTTGCCGACTTAAAACTGAAGGACTGAAAGAAGAGAACAAAAACGTAGATCGACAAAAACGATCCTGAAGGAATGCTCACTGACTCCAATGACTGTGCAATGGCGGTGCCGTGTTTCGGCACCGGTCGACTTTCTCTTTTCTCCTCCTCTCTCTCTCTCCTTCACTCGCTATACCTTTTCCTCCTAAGGAGTGCGCGGTTTTGTCGATTTTAAAATCGTGTCTTGCGCTCTGCCGTCAGAAAGGCACGGTGTCTGTTATAAATGTAGGCTCAGGCTTTTGAAGGGCAGATTCTCTGTTTCGCACTCTCCCAGCTCAATTCCTCATTTTCTGCTGCCGCTGCTGCTGTTTCTGCTGCTGTTCTACCTCTAGAATGTAATTACTGGTAGATTTGCAAGCAAAACGACTACCAAGTTAGTCTTATTTAGAGTCCCTCTACTTGCTGCGCTCTGCAAAACCAANGAGAGTGAGCTAAAGAGCGAGTAATCAATAGTGTATCGTTCACTGACAATTAAACTTCCTTCGCGTCTTTGTGTCTCCTCTCTCCCCACCAGCCAATACCTGTGTACACCGCTGCCCGTGCTTTTGCGTGTGTTTGCTGTAGAGGCGCCTCCTGGCTCTGAACCGCTGCCGCTTCTTGTCGCCTAGGTCACCAGGACCTTGTCGCTTTGCTCTTCTCGCAAAATGGCAATGAAAGTTTAATTTTTTTAAGTATGAAAAAGATAGTATCAACATAGTTGAAGAAAGGCGATCAATAGACGGCTGAGGCAGTTCAATTGGCAGGTGAGGAGGTACTGTGTAATACAAGATGATCGAGGTGCACATTGCAGTATTAAAGTTGTAGGCAGATATAAATTGGCTATGAAAGTTAGAATTGATTGCTTAGTGCAAACTAAGATAAAAGATTTTTCAGTAAAAAATATTTATTGTGTGACTTCAGTTTAAAACTAGTTAGGGTTTTTACTAATTAAAAGTTTTTTAAAGCACAAGTGCGCAAAAGGTTTAAACAGGTCATAACTATAAAAATTGATTTTTATTGTAAAAGTTTGAAAACAAGTCTAAAAACTTAAAACAAAATTTGTCTCTTTTAAAATAGTTAAAGTTGTCACAAGACAAAATAAAATTACACACTTTAATTAACAGAGTACATTTGAATAGTAATTTTATTGACGTAATACATTTTTCAAATTCCACAAAATTGTAAACATAAATAAAACTTTTAAAATGTTCAAAATAGCATTAAAAATTTTGTTTGTAAAATGTTAGCAAAGAACAAAGGGTTTACCTGTTTAGAAAATTTGCTTTTAATTAAAAACAAATATAGTTTGTTTTAAGTTATTGGTTGCAATATTAGTCTAAACAAATTTCTATTGATTAAATTTAATATTAATTAGTTAAATTATTCAATGATTTTTTTAAAAACAATGTTTGTTTAATCTTGTGTTACTAAACTACTATAGTCAATAATAAAAAAACCAATAATTTATAAAGCTTACACAAGAATTAGAAAAGTTTTGGTTTGGCAATTATAAACAAATTTTAAAAATTAATTTGTGTTGTCAAACCTTTGAAGTTTTATTTCCGATTTTTAATAAGAACAAAAATTAAACATTGTTTTATTGTAACTCATTTTAAAATAAAAACATTAAAGTTGTCATTTTTATAGCGAAATGGATTTGTAATTTATAAAATAACAATGAATTGTTTTTTAAACAAAAACCGATTTTTTTGAAAATTATTTGTACAAATTGTTCAAAAACTTGATTCTACTGCTAATAAAGGCTGAGTTTTTCATCTGATAACAATAAAATACAATTGTTAAAGCCCTGAACAAGTTTTTAGTTGTATTTTATCTTTAAATCGATTAATACTAGGTTTCACTTGAGCAATATCATAATTCTAGTTTTATTTTGAATATTTTTTATCTCGGTTTGTATTTAGTTATTGTTCCGCCCATTTTAGCGTAAAACTTAATCTGTTCTTAAACAGCAAGTGCAATGCACGCAACTATTACTGAAAAAAATTCTTTGTGTAACTCTACAGTTGTAAATGATAAAATAAAAGTTTGTGGGTGCCTGGACTCATGCCCCAACAAGTTGATATTTTGTAATTTATTGGCAACCAAAAACAGACAATGATTAAAAAAAATTGGCCATTTAGTAACAAACAAAAAGTAACTCTTGTTAAACTAAAATCTCTTTTAAGAGCAAAAGCTAATTTTGGCACATTAATTGTGTTTTTAATGACACAAAAATGTTTTTCAAATATTTCATAAAACAAACATTAAAACAAGTAATTTGTATAATTCGTTAATTCAATCTGGTTTTAAAAGCATATTCCATTGATTAACAATTGTACTAACATTGTCACCGACAATTTTTTACTTGAAAATGTAATTTATGAAGTAAAATTGATTTTGAATAAAACTCAATTTGACAAAATGATAAAAAATTGTTTTATTTCACAATTTAAATAAAAAAATTTTAATTTTTGTTTTATTTTTCCTACAAACTTCCACATTTAAAATTTTAAATTGTCGTTTGTATTATAAAAAATTTATTGTTTTCCGAAGAAAAGTCATTTCACAGGGTTCAGTTACCCAAAATAGGGTTCTTTACTTCCCGTGTTGAGGTAGAACTTGCCTCTGTTTCCCGTACCTGTGTACTCAATGGCCTTCGGTCCTAGGTATACGCAATTCTTACGATTGGCTCCACAACTACGACAAGTACTGTTGTCTGCATTGAAAGTCGCATAATCGGCACATCGATAGGCAATTGTTTTTGGATTGTTTCCATTACGTATAGCCTCGATGTAGTACACCTGTAAAAATAAAGTAAATTGGAGTACGATTACTAATCACGACCAAATAAGAAAGCAATCAAAAACAGAGGCTCTGGAAATCAAATTAACGTCAAAAAAATCTAAATTGACATACCCATCCCCGGTAGTGCTCACACCCAAGTAAAGTTCGCGATCTACAAGGCAAAATGTTGTTACTGTTTAAAAAACTTAGCTCACATCATCATTAAGTACCCCTCTGAGATTCCTCCTTCAACAAACGCCCCGATACGATCTTTAGCACAGCCTGGCTGGCTTTTAGCACCATTCGGATACAGATCCACTGTTCCTGAGGGTTCTTCATATCCCATTCCTACCAGGGGCTTTGCATCAGTGTGTATCACATCGACAAACTTGGCGTCACTGTACCAGAGGCGACCCTTAGGCTGACGGTCTTTGAACGAGGGTCCAGCTGGGTCTAGCCCAGTGATCTGTTGATTAAAAAAATCTTAAACTCGGTGAAACCTTTTGACAGTGTTTTTACCTGACCAAGGTTCCCTTTTAAAAACTTGCCCTGAAAAAAACATCGTTTAGCGCTTTTCAGTAAAAAATTAAAAATGTACAGACCGCAAATCCGCAAACATGCGCTCCGAGAGACTGACAGAGAAGGTGAAACTTGTCCAGAGAGGATCTCCGCTGTCGTGCCATCAGCGACATCTGAATTGCAATCATCGGTCCGACGAGGGGAGCGTTCGCCACCGCCTGTCCATAGGGCTCCTTGTTGCCGCCCGACCAGTCGGCGATGATCACATTGACGTCCATCCGCTCGAGAAAGGCGTTCTTCATGTCGTGCATCCACTCGCGATTGCTCGGATTTTCACTGTACCCGTGGACGATTATTTTAGTGGGCTTGCTGCCGTCAAAGTTGGCGGCCCGCTGCAGTGACTCGGTGGAGTTCCAGGTGATGTTCTGCGGCTGTTGGCGGTTGCTGCGAGTGTACAGCTGGAAGATGAGGTTTATTGTGGAGGGGCTGAAGGGCAGGTAGAGGGTGCTCTTCTTGGTGCTCGACTGGTCGAGGTAGTCGGTGGCGTTGAAGGTGCCGATTCCCGGGTAAGAGACAGTGGTGGCATTCTTGGTTGAAGATGACGATGGTGATGAAGAAAATGATGATTGTGGCGGCGATGACACTTTGCACTGGACCGCTTGAAAGCAGAGCAGAAGAGCGGCCACTACAGTGATTGCAGTGAACTTCATCTTTTCGCTCTCTTAATTTGTCAAAGTCAGCAAGTTGAAGGTTCGCGCTTGTTTGTGAAAAGAACTAGCTGATAATTAATTCTTCTTTTCGTAAGAAAGAAGCTCCTCTCTTTCTCTTTTATACACCACCACCGTCTAAGCGCGAAACGATATACATTTCCACTTGCACCGAGAAAACAGGTTTTGTCTCTCAGCATTTTCCCCTGAATCTCGTGCCTCTACTTTTCGTGCACCAATAAAAACAGAAAGAAAATTAATAAATCTGCGGAAAGGTTAGTCATTGGCATTGAAACCCTCCTGTTTTCTGCTGTTGCCTGCTGCTGCTGCTGTTAAACAGTTTGGCTAATTGTCACTGTTGCAGCTTTTGTTTTGTTTCCGACTGTACAAGTATGTTCATTACCTTGAGCAGTGCCACAATTGGATTGGATTGTATTGTACAACAGAGGTAATAATAACAATGAGTAATAAAAACACACAATCCTAAAGCGTTAATTATGCAACTGTTTCAAACAAGATACTTTTAAAAAAGAAATTAAAAATACTAAATAAGTAGAATCTTACTAACTAGATCATTGGAAATAGGGCTCCGTCTCGGCGGTGTTCAGGTAGAACTTGATGCGATTCTCGCCCTTGGCCTTGAACTCTGCAGACCTAGGGCCAAACCAGGCGCAATTTTGTCCCTCATCGCCACAGTCGTTGCAGTTGCCCGCCTCAAAAAGCTCATAGTTTTCACATCGATGAGCAAGCAATTTGGGGTTGGTGACGTTGGTGATGGACTCGGTGAAATACTTCCATGACCGATAGTGCTCACAGGCGATCAGTGTTCGAGCGCCGGTGAGGAAGCCGCGCATGAAGGAGCTCAGGCGTTCAGTGCCACAACCTGGCTGACGGTGACCTGAGTTCGGGTAAATGTCTATCGTTCCGCAGGCTTCTCCCATTCCCAGGCCAATGACCGGACGCATGTCGGTGTGAATGGCGTCCACAAACTGGGCGTCAGTGTACCACAGCCGGTACTGCGGCTCGGCGCCCTCAAAGCTCGGTCCAGCGGGGTCCATTCCCGTAATCTGGGTAAAAAAGATTACAATTTTAGCATTGATCAAAACTACTGCTATTCAGCTCACCTGACCAAGCGTTCCGTTTAAAAATTTTCCCGCAAAGCCTGAAAGATGTGCTCCCAGACTCTGTCCGATCAAGTGAAACTGAGATTCAGTGGCATTCTTCAGCCTACAGATCAGCTGAACCTGAATGGCTACCATGGGGCCAATGACCTAAAGAGTAAGTGAGAGCATTTTGCTGATGAGAAGTTCATCAAAAATACCCCTCCCAGTGCCCTTTTACCTGCGTATTGGCCGCCGCCTGTCCGTAGCGTCCTCTGTTGGCTCTGTTCTTGCTCCAGTCGATGATGATGACGTTCAAATCAAAGGCCTCCAGAAACTTGTCCTTCATGTCGCCGATCCAGGGCCGAGAAGCGGGCGTCTCCACGTACCCGTGAATGATCACCTTGGTCGGTCGGCCATTGCTGTAGTACCGGGAGCTTTCCACCGACTCGGTGTTGTTCCAGAGGAGCACTTCTGCTTCGGTGGGATTCTCACGGGTGTACAGGTAGAAAGAGGGCTCCATCTTGAAGGGGTCCTCGGGGAGGTAGTCCAGGAGGCCATCGGTGTCGAAGAAGCCAATTCCCGGGTAGTCAACAGACTTGTGAATGCTGGAGCACTTGGAGAGCACTACACAAACCATGAGAATTATGAGTGAAAAGGTGGTGAACATCTTTGCTCGACTCGGTCGCCGCCGCCGCTGGTGAGGACCGTACAGAAGGAAGAAGACAAGTGAAGAGATGAAAAGTGTCGCGAGAAGTGAAACAACCATGATGCACTTTTGTGCCGTTTGCACTGTGCACAGATTTGCACTTTGGCGGTACCGCCTTGATTATAGACTGGCACTAATGAAGAGGGAAAGGATGATGAGGGAGCAGTGGTGGAAAGATGTTTTGTAGTGTAAAAGATTTGCCCGATAACATGTGCGTGTTTTTGTGCCATTGGAAGCCAGTCGTCTGCTGCTGATGTAATGTCACATGCGGTGTTGTAGGTGGTACAAGTTTGTGAGCACTACTCTGTATGCAGCAGCAGAGAACAATCACTGGTGGCTGATTAGTCACCTCCACTCTACCACATTCTGCCACAGTCCACTGATAATGACAGTGGAAACGATAAAGCGTCGTTACCTTGAAGGAGAGGATGGGTAGCATATGGTGGTGAGATTTGAACAACACTTACACTTTGTGAGATTAATCAATGGAAAAATGGTTAATGAGTAAAAAAAAGTTTATTTGGGGTATTAGGGAAATCGTTTTTATTGTATTTTATATTTAAAACAACAAGTATTTTTCATTCAAAATGGATGGAGATCATCATAATCATGATCTGATTTGAGACGCTTCTTTTTCTTAATCTTTTTACGTTTTTTCTTTATTTTAGCATCAACGCCGCTGCCGTGGTCTGAATCTTTTTTGTCATAAAAACGGCTTATAGATTTAATTACCGTAATTAAGCCAGCCTTACTGTCAATATTTAGTGAGCTGGTTTCATTCTCCCGAAGTAGAGCTAATTGGAAAATGATTAGTCAAAGGTTAACAAAAAAAAATCCAAAACCATACAAGAGTTAATAAAAAGTGGCCAAAAGAATAGGAGAATGACAAACACAGGACGACACTTCATTCTTCAAACTTGAACCAATGTTCATTTACGTGCAAGAAGTTATTAATTTAAATAAATGCTAAATTAAAGCATTATTACTGCCTAATTTGAGAGTCCTTTGAAGTTGAGTAAAAAAGCAGTAAAAACAGGACAGCATTTTGGTAAATGAAAAGCAACTATTGTGTGAAACGGTTCATTAACATATTGGAAAATATAAATTGCTTCAATTTAAATTTGGTAATACCATTTGACATTGGGGCTATCGCTGATTGGTTTTAAAAGCAGTAAAACCGTTTTTGAATAGCTTAAATGACCCTCACAAAACCGTAAACTGAAAAACTCAATTGGTTTAGAAAATCTAAATCGACAATCTGATAAATAGAATAGTTTCACTAATATAAATATCTAAAGTCCCCATTATATTTGTTTCCAAATAGACAATTCACATTTGAAAGAATATGTTACTTGTAGTACACACCACAGCAATGGTGTCCGTGGGCGACACTTTCACCTTTTTCTGAGTATTTACTTTTTCGACAGTGTCTCTTCAACCATCTGTAAAAAAGAGCAACAAAAATTAGCATTCAAAAATAAACTACCTCGAAGAGTACAACCTTGGAAATGCTCTTCAGTGTGTTGGGCGTAAGGTTCTCCAGTTTGCTGAGTAGATCAGTGGAGAGCTGCTTTGCAGCGGAACTGCCGCCAGCACTGGCCGACTTGTTCGAAGGTGTCTGGTGAATTGACTCTGAGGAGGAAGCTCGCGAGGAAAGTGCTGACTGACTGGACTGACTATCCTGACCGGTGCCCGTCAGGTAGGGATGCGTGAGCAGATCGGCCGCCGTCGGTCGTTGCGTCGGGTCTTTGGTGAGACATTTCTGTTTTGGCAGCAATGGATTTAGTTGGTTGATTCAGTAGTAAACTGAGTAAACAGAGTCGACCTATACCTTAATCACATCGACTAGCAGCGGGTCCTCTTCATGCGGAAAGGTAATCGTCTCATTGCAAATGGCCATACTCTTCTGGAAGTTGTCCTTCCACGCGGCAAACGGACTGTAGCCGTACACGAGGTTGAACAGTATCACCCCGAGACTCCAAATGTCCGCTTTCTGGTTGTACTTCACCACCGACTTGCCGTCCTCCAGCTTGTGCCGCCGCTGAAAGGACTCCGGCGCCATAAAATCCGCCGTGCCGATGATGGACTCCTTGTAGACGCTCGTCTTGTTCGACTGAATCTTATTGGCAATGCCAAAGTCAATCAGCTTCAGCTTTCCTGAGAACGAGGATTGTTTTGAAAAAAGGTTGCAAAAACACATTCACTGAAAAGGAAAGCAGTCACACTTACCACTGACGATGATAAAGTTGACTGGCTTCAGGTCGGAGTGGACGATATTGCGCACGTGAATCTCATTGACCACCTTGACCATCTCCTGCCAGTAGAAGCGAATCATGTGCGGGCTGAGCTTCTTCACGCCGCCCTCACTCTGAAAGCCCTGAATGACCTTCGACAGGTCGTCGTCGCCCTTCTCCATCACAATGAACAGCTCGCGGTCGTTGTTGCGAAACTCGTAGTCGTACATTCGCACGACGCGCTTGCAGTCCCGCAGCGAGGCGAGCAGCTTGATCTCATCGCGAAAGCCGTGTAGCACCGCCTTGTCCGCCTTCCGCAGGTCGACCGTCTTCAGCGCCAGGGTGCACTTTCGCTCCAGATCAAAGACCTGGTAGACGACGGCAGAGCCGCCTCGCCCCAGCCGGTTCAGCACCTTGTAGTGCCGTCCCTTGATGGTGATCGTCTTCAGGTCACCACCCTCAGCTGATGCTGTCGAGCTGTCTGCGGGTTTTGACTTTGAGCTAGAAGCTGGAACGGCAGGTACCGACTTTGACGGTACTTTTGCCGGTGTCGGCTTTGCTGAAGATGACGATGATGATGATGGTGGGGCTGGTGGGGGTGGAGCAGGCTGTCGCTCAGGCATTTTAGGAACCTTTGCCAAGCTGGGGGCCAGCATTTTGAGGCTCTTCAGCACTGGCATCGGAGTAGACGGTTTGACTGAGCCAGGCTTTGGCAGCTGAGCAGGGGGAGGCATCTTCTTTGCGGAAGGCGGAACGGCTTCACTGGTCTTTGAGGTGACCGGCAGCTCAACAACACACGGCTCCGGCACTCTGTCCAGGGCAGGCATAGAGCGAGCCAGCTTCAGTTGACTGTCATTCTCAAAGCTTTCCGTGTCGTCAATATCCATGTCGACTATTATTTGGTGAGAATTGGCGGAATCAGTTCGTTTAGTGTGCTTGATCGAGGCACCAGAAGAGTTGTTGCCCACTGAAGTTCCAGAGTTGGCAGACGTGTTGGTGGTGGTGGTTGAAGAGGTACTAGAAGAGCTTACCGCCACTGCTGCCATATGCGAATCCAAGTTCAGTGGCCTTAAAATCCGTCCCGCCTTCCCTACTGATGATGCACTTTCCTTTGCAGGAAACTGCTTCAACCAAGGTCGTTGGGAGTTATCAATCAGAGGCTTTTTAGAGCTAGAAACCGGCAGCCGTCTCTTGCTGGTGCTTCCCAATGGGATCGGCTTTTTAGCCGCCTTTGAGCTGGAATACTGACTGGCAATGCTTTCGGCGACTTCATTGGAGTAGGAGTTAGAGCTGGCAATCACCTGATGAGACATTGGCAGTCGAAGGACACCATTGTTGATGCCTTTTACGAAGGAGGGCTCACCGAACGAGCTGGCGTTGTCGGGCAAAACCTCCACCACAGACTGGTCAGCGGAAAAGGCTCGCACCACTTTTTGAGCACATTTACCTGATGGTATGTACTCGGGCGAGTAATCAGGATCATCTGTCGCAGTTGGCTCTTCATTTTCATCATTCGAAGACTCGGAGGACTCCTGCTGAGTCTGCTGACCGTTGATGCGAAAGTTTCGAAACTTTGAGTACAACTCGGCGTGAGACTCTTTGAGAAGCTTTTCCTTCCTTTCAATTTCTAAGCGCTCCATCAGAGTCGAGTGCTGAGTGGCGGACATTGAGGCTGACATTGTTTGGTTGTACTGTTTGGTGGTTGATTGCTGAACACTAGTGTTGGAAGTCAGCAGATTACCGCCCGTGTTCAGATCTTCCGTTGGCTGATTAGAGACGCTCTTCTTCAGTGAATCAATATTGCCTGTTGTTGAGAGGTGCTTGGAAATGACCGATACTGGACGTGGTGGAGTTTTTAGCAGAAGCTCGCGATAATTTCGAGATGAATACGGTTGTTGAGAGTCACCAGTTTTTCCACTGACAGCGGCCATCGGCCGAAGAAACTCACCCCTATCAGTTGCCTTTTTACTGGCAGTTGTTGAAGCAGTTGTGGCAGTGGTTGTGGTGGTGGTCGTGCTGGTGGTGGTCTTTGACACTTCGGCTGGCGGACGCCGAAGGCGCACTTTAAATGAACTTGTTGTATGTGTGGTCATGGTTGTCGATGTGAGTGATAAAACAAGGTAAAATCTACAAAAGAAGCAACAGTTTTAGAGATAAAGATAGCACGCATAAAAGTGTGAAAACAAACCTTTTTGAACTTGATGCAATACTAGTTGAGCACGCTTGAAAAATCTGTATTTGAAATGCAACGAACAGACAGAATCCGATTCCACAATATAAACCAAGGTAAAAATATTCTTCCCAGAAGATAAACAACAAACAGTGAGAGAGATAGCAAGTAAAGGGCCTCACTCTCTTCAGAACTCAAGGCAAATTCAAATCAACAAACCGCCGAAAATCAACGGCCAAAAATGCCCGTCACAGACGGTGTTACGTTTTGAGCCGATGACGCAATTTGTTGAATCAATAAACACAGCGATGTTTTTTGGTTTTTTGAAAAATTTTTGCGATTTTTATTGAAATTTTTTTGCTTTAAGAAAGTCCCAAACAAGGCCGCCGGGTACAAACAACATTGTACACTTGGGAAGTGTGTCTGTGCTGGTGTAGAAAGGTGTTGAAAGAAGACACTTGAAAATAGGGGCCTGAGAGGGAAGGGGAAAGAGTGGGAAAAGGTTACAGAGATTTTTTTGGGGGAGGAAAATTGAAAATTTTGAATTTAGAAATTGAAAAGATGCACAGATTCAAAAGAGGAAAATTTAGAAGGGGAGAAAATGACGAAAGATAATTTCGATGAGAGCAGGTGCATCTACTCTGGCTTGGAGCCCAGCTCCTTGGCGCGATGAGCCTGAAGAACAGCCATGGCCTCGTCCACCTTGCTCTTCAGCAGAGTGGGATCGTTGATCATGTGCTGAACCTCGGCCACGTCCATCTCCAACAGCATGCCAGTGATCTTGCCAGCATATTCAACGTTGATGCTGCTCACGAGTGGGTACAGATTTTCGCCTAAAAATAGAAAAACAGAACATTAGAAACAGAGCCATCAAAGTACACAGTAAGTAAAAAGACTAAAACACTAGAAGGTTACTAAAAATCTTCAGACACGGAGAGAGATATTGCAAAGCGGCACAGCCAAGTCCATATGGCCAGTGGGTTCAGCTATTTCTAGCTCTGACCGAACAAGGCGACCCCGGCAACGTGGGTATCCCCGAGAATCATCATAGAATTGAAATTGTTCACTGAACTGAAATCTAGCCTGAAAAGGGCCCCCTTAACAAGAGAAAGGGTTCATGTGCTTACCCAGAATTTGAATCTGCTCTTCGTGGCTGACAGCAGTCGCCTCAGCACCAAGCTGCGGGAACTATACAAAAAAAAGCAATTTCGTTAGTGTTCAGTTGACAGTACAAGAGAGGAAAAGCTAAAAAACTTACATTGCCAGGAGCAGTGGGAACGGCACCACCGGCGGGCTTACCGCCCTGAGGACCGGCACGAAGACCGGGGCCTTGCGGGGGACCACGCGGGACCTGGGCGCGACTCTGCGGACCACCGGGAATGACCTGTTGCTGGACGAAGCGACCACCCTGAGCATTAGCTCCGGGAATGCTACCCGGTCCGGTGGGCATGGCGGGACGGATGTTGGGCTGGCCAGCAGATCGTGGGTTCTGGCCGCGGTAGTTACCCTGGTTGAACTGGCCCACATTCTGGCGCTGGCCCTGGTTCATCTGATTCCAGCGCGGATTGACGCGCATGCCCTGGGCGTTGGGCTGCACCTGACCGGCTCCGGGGCCGGCGTTCTGGTAGAAGCCTCGGTGAGCCATGGGGTTCGCCACCGGCATCAGGTAGGGCGGCTGTTGCATGCCTCCGGCGGCCATCATCTGTCCGTGCATCGGCATAGCCATGTTCTGGCCCTGGAACTGCGGAGGGGCGGCCATGTTAGCCTGGGGCAGGCCAGGCTGGTTGGGCAGCGCATGTGGCAGGCGAAGGTTGCCGCCACTGGTGTAGCGCATGTTCAGCTTCTGCGCCTCGCGGTCCTCCTTGCGCTGAGCCAGAGCGACGTACAGCGGCTTCGAGACGATGATGCGGTTGTTCATCTCAGTCACCGCCTTGGTGGCCTCCTCCGGAGTGCTGAAGCACACGAAACCAAATCCCTTGGACTGGCCCTTCTCGTCGGACATCACCTTGGCGCTGGTGATGGTGCCGAAGCTGCTGAACTCGGTCTGCAGACGCTGGTCATCGATACCATCCTCCAGGTTCTTCACGTACAGATTGACGCCCTGGTTGCGATTGATGCGCTCAGCCTTGATGGCGTCCAGCTTGCGACGAAGCTCCGCTTCGCGCTCGGCTTTCTTCTGGGCACGGCCCACGTAGAGCAGTTTGCCGCCGCCCATGTCCTTGCCGTTCAAGCTAGAGACGGCCGCCTCAGCGCCCTCCGAGCTGGCAAAGCACACGAATCCAAAACCCTTCGACTTGCCATCGATGTCCTTGGTCACAACCGATGAAGTGATCTCGCCGTGCGGGGCAAAGAGAGCCTTCAGCTTCTCGTCAGTGTCGTACTGGTCAGTCAAATTCTTCACGTAGACGTTGGTGAAGCGACGGTGTCCGCCGCCCAGCTTAGTCTCGCGCTCCTTGCGGGAAAGAAACTTGCCCACAAAAATCTTTTTTCCGTTGACAATCTTGCCGTTCAGATTTTCGATGGCACTAGTGGCCGCCTCCTCAGTGTCGTAGTGCACGAAGCCGTAGCCCTTCGACTGGGACTTGTCATCGTAGGACACCTTGCACGAGAGAATGTTGCCGAACACGGAAAAGGTGTCGAACATGATCTTGTTGTCCACAGTGCGGTCCAGGTTCTTGATGAAGATGTTGCCCAGGCCCGAGCGGCGCAGCGATGGATCACGCTGGCTCCACATGATTCGAATGGGGCGGCCGCCCAGACGCTCAAAGTTGAGCGTGTCGATGGCGCGTTCGGCATCGGCAGAGTTCTGGTAGTTCACGTAGGCGTAGCCGAGTGAGCGACGGGTGATGATGTCGCGGCAGACGCGGATGGAGAGCACCGGGCCAGCGGTGGAGAACTTCTCAAAGAGAATGGCCTCGGTCACCTCGGGAGCCAGGTCGCCAACGTACAGCGAGGCGATGGGATAGTGGTTGCCGGTTGTTGAAGAGTTCATTTTTGCGATTGACGTTTAGTTCTTTGAATCAGAGATTTAGCTGAAGTTGGCAACAAATTCGATTCGGTTGACGCAAGATTTGAGATTGAAATCTGAAACGTGAGCCAAAAGAGAAAATAGAAATTAGAGATGATTGTTGGGGAAGGGGATGAATAAAAATAAAAGGGCAAAGTTCGAAATGGAAAATAGAAACAAGTTACCACAAATAAAAATGCAGGCGCCAAAGGCAGTGAGAAGAGGAGGCGGATATCACAGGAAGAGTATCACAAATGAGCCCTAGTGTTATTGAGGAGTGGCTAGACCCGAGTGCATGTCCCCACCGCTGAAATCTACCGAGAGACTGAAGTGACTTGCCAGCCAAGTGAAAGTGATCACTTTGTCAATGCCGGCGTGTACTTTTCACACACGTGGTGGCGAGGTGACCACCTTTTCAAAGAGTACGTCATCCCAGTGGACGAGGTTCGATAATGGGCGCACAGAGCCGCTTGGCTCATGGCACCACCACCACCACATTCAGAGCTAAAGTCTTTGCATCGCACCCAGTCATCACGGCGTCATCGAGCTATCATCGCAAGGCGCAATCAGCCTGCACTGGATAGCTCAAGCTGCCACCGCCGCTGCTGTTGGCAGCCTTGCCACAGGGAGCTGGAAAATGCAGCTGCAGCGCACAACGTTGGAGAAACGATCTCAGCAAGGGAGAGAGCGATAGAACGCAGCCGCAGAAGTGGCCGTTAACGTGGCAAGCTGGCGCGCTGCAAGAGAGGAGGAAAAAGAAAAAGCACGCTGCCTTGATGACTCAAAGGGAGACATCGTGAAAGCGTGGCTCGGCGGATGGTAAAGGGCGCTTTTCTTGAGGGGGCAAGAAGTAGAAGAAAACAAGTTCGACTTTGAGAGACGCACTCTGACCGAGTCGGAGAGACTATACAGTGACTCCTGGAGCAAAATAGAAATCGAATGGGAGACAGAAAACAGGTAGACAGGATAATGGAACGTAACAGCGTCAGAGAGTGGCAGGCGTCCTAATTTCCTAAGCGCAAACAAGCGACTAACGAGTTCGGCGAAAGGTGACGAGAGGTAAAGGTGCGCAAAGGAGCAAAGGGGAAATGGCGGAAAGGAGGCATAAGGGGGAAAGGACCCGAAAAACAAAAATGGAACTTACCGAGAGAGATAGAGATAGAGATGAAGTTCTTGTTGTTTGAAGAGATTTTTACGATTTTACGATTTTTTTGGTGTTTTTTGTGGTTTTGAAATTTTTTTGGGGAATTTTTTTACTTGAGGGTGAGTCTTTTCTCACTGGTTCTTTTTTATTCGGCTCGGGACATTGGTGTTGATCGGGTGATCGGGTGTCCGAAAAAACGGATCGGTCGGTCCGGCGAAGGATGCGACGTAGAGCGGATACAACACGCAAAGGTGGAGTGGTGCTGTAGAGAGCAACCAGAGAGTGCGACTGCAAATAGGAATAAGTAAAAAGAAGCTAAAGGAAGACCAGGATTAGTTATCAGTGAGGATCACGAGGACCAGGAAGGAAAGATGGCCACCAGGACTTACCAGAAGTAGACGTAGAGAAACTCTTCTAAAATAGAGATGTGCTCACTCGAACTACCAAGAAGAGAATGTTTGAGCGCAGTGTGCAATGGGAGAGCAACGCGCGAGCGGTGCTGCCTTCCTCTGCCCCGTCCAGAGGCGAAGCACAGGCGGCGGCAGGCCGCTCACCGTGGTCGGCCTGGCGTAGTGGCACCGCCGTCTCGTAGAGGACGTAACCACCCTTGATGGAGATTTCACCCGATTTCTACCGATCAAAGATGGTGGCGATGGTGGTGATGGTGGCGTTCCGACTGATCTGAACTGCGTATGAATTCGTTTACGAATCATTTACGTTCTATCCCTTACGGCATTGACATTTGCACGGTACAGCGAAATGCTGAGCCATTTGTTGAGCTTGTTCTCTCTTTCTCTCTCTCTCTCTCCTACCGCTACACTGAAATCAATCGGCGGTTGGAGAGAAAGCGAAACCACTGGCAAAAGTAGGACAAGACCAGATCGGTGGTGGTGGTGGTGGTGTACTCTCTCTTTCTACATTTCGATTCACCGTCGTCACCGCCGACGACTTGTTGGCTCCACTTTTGCACCGGCTCTCACTATCATTATCAGCCCTCTCTTATGGAGGAGCCCATCATTCACATGATGGTGATGAGCTCTTATCGCTTTAGTGATTTAATGAACCCGAGATGTCTGGCTGATTATGGCGACTGGAAATAGACATTGGATGCTAACACCCAATTGCCTCTGCAGGAGGTTCACCCCCTTTTGCCTTGTACCGTCAATTTCTGGTCGTACAACGGTCGGAAGTTTTCCTTTGTATTGTTTTCATCCACTTGAGATCACCTGTATCTGCTTGGTTGTATAGATAAATTGCAGGATCAATCTATATTAGTCGGATTTTTCCATTTATTAACGGCGCACACTCTTTGGCATCTGACAAAGTCCTTAGTCCATTTGGTGTTGGTAATCAAATCAAGGCGATTCCTATCGCCATCACTTTTAAATCATTTCGAAATCATTCTCGAAATTCTCCCGCCAGAAGCGCCATCTGTCGCTGTGAATCTTGACTCTATCAGTCTTTTGTTCAGCAATCTTTCTCTCGATGGCTCGCTGCTGCTGCTGCTTCTCTGCTGTTGATGATGGTGCTGCTTCACTGTCTGTCCCGAGACTGAATGACTGACTGACTGTCTGTGGCTTTCCCGTCCCGTGTCCGTGGTTGCCGTTCTCCATTCCCAACAACACTTTGTGTGTGTTCCCTTCACTTCAACTGCTGCTCATGACCGCCAGTCTGTCTCTGCATCTCCCGCGCGCTCTTCCACTTCCACTTCTCTCATCGCAGCACACAACACTGACACACACACACACGAGTAAGTCACACAGTGTCTCCTCGTCTTCTCGTCTCTTCTCTAATTGCCAATTAATTAGCTAATTGTGCTAATTAATCGACCCGAGGAGGCGTTCCCCCGTTGACCAGTGCCCTCACCGACGTCGTCGTCATCGTCTCCTGGGCCCTGCTGCTGCTGCTGCTGAAGCCCTGTCGCTGCCCTGTCGCTGGGTCCGAGCTGTCTGAGCTGTCAGTAGTGCTGACTGCCTCTTTGGCATTGGCTTTCCCCCCTGGCCGAGCACCACTCTCATCAGTGCTAATTGACCTCCCCACTCTCTTCGATTCTGGAGGGAATCTGCCGCGAGGAACGTTGCCTCTGAATGGGCAAGCACTTCTTTGCTGGTTCTGTGCTTCTTCACTTCAGCTGATGTTTTGAAGCTGTCCTGTGTTGAAGCTGTGCTTCAAGAAGCCAATCAAGACAAGACCAGCAGCAACTCCATCAGACACCGAATGTGGATAATCCTAATCACCGCCACCAGCATCTCTACCGAGACTGAAATTGACTTGAAGACCAGTGCTAGAGAGGACAAAATGACAGCTGCCAGAGTAAGTGTGTGGTGTTGTTGTTATTGTTATGTTTGTGCCCAAGTTTGACATTTTGCTTTTCACCCCCTTCCAGAATGGCACTAAAACGGCAACTTCAATAGCATTACGCTTTACCAAACCATCGTGACAGTGGACTGTATCATCATCACCATCATCATTGCAGCTTTCACCTGAAGACATCTTCAATCTNTGCTTTTCACCCCCTTCCAGAATGGCACTAAAACGGCAACTTCAATAGCAATACGCTTTACCAAACCATCGTGACAGTGGACTGTATCATCATCATCAATGCAGCTCTCACCTGATGACATCTTCTTCAATCGCCTCCTTCTGTTGCCAAATTCTACCATCAAACACAATTTTGCTGTCAAAACTCAAGTACTCGCCTTTTGTTCAAACTACTTTTAAAGTGATTGCCTCCTTCTCCTCCACAACGTAAAGTCTACTTAATTACCAATGTGATTCCTGCAAACTACAAACAAAGAATGCATTCTGCAAACTGAACTACTACTCCTAATACAACTGAAGCAATAACTACCAGCCTTGAAGGACCAGTAATTCAATAACAGTACTGTCTTCCCTATACTTTAAATCATTACACCTGAACTCATTGCCTCAGGACAACTCTAAACTTCAACTCTAAACTCTAAACCCAGCTCAGCATTTTAACACCTCAGTAACATAAAGAACTCAACAGTCATCTCGCAATCAGACTGACCTTCACACTCATCACCTTTTCATCCGCCCCTCATTACTACCTTTGTCACGGTTCACATACCGTAGGTAAGTTCTCACTGGTGGTTGTGTTTTGCCTAAACACACACACGCGCGCTCTTTTATTTAATTATCCTTCAGCCATTTTTCATTTTTTTCTAATGCCAATTCTTTAGCCCTTTTTGCCAATTAGCTGCTGCTGCGCTCCTACCGTCTAACCTTGTACTTGAAGCACACTGCGTTCTCTCATTAGTACTTTCGTTCTGCCACACCGCCAATTTCCCGTGCCATTATCGTCACCTCTTTCGCTAATTGGCTCAGTCTGAGCTTAAATTAGCCTAAAAGCTCGAGGTGACATTTTTTTGGTGGAAAAAAAAGAGAGAAATCTGCCGAGCACTCTGAAAGCAAAGGGAAGAGAATGTAGTGCACAATCTGAGGAACAACTAATCTTACCAGTCCATCGGTAAGGATGCTTCTCTTCTGCACGGGCAATTTGCGTTTTCTACTTTCTAACCTGTGAATTTGTCAACAGAATATTGTTTGTATTCATCTTTCAATTACCTACCAAGTATTCTCCAAAAGTTACCTCACCCAACCACCACCAACTCAAAATCCCCTTCCTTCAAAATGCCTCGAGAGCGAATACGCAAGAAGAAGACCCCCGCAGCTGCGGCGGCTACACCTCAGCCAAACGCCGGCCAACAACGTCCCTTTTCAGTGTCTCCCGGCGACTCTAGCTGCTCCTCTGACTCGCTCTTCAGCGGCAGCGGTCACATGCCTGGAGGGCACAACTATGGCCCGCCACCGCCTCATCACATGCAGCAACAGCAGCAACATCAGCAGCATATGAACCAACAGCAGCAGCAGCAGCAACACCACTCACCGTACGGGAACCATCACTACGGTGGGCCGCCGCCGCCGATGAACCCCGGTCACCACCATCACCACCAGCATCCACATCACCACCACCCTCACCACCCCCACCACCAGCAGCAACAACAGCAGCAGCAGCAGGGGCACCATCCGTCGCAGTCGATGTACCCCCCTCCGTCGAGTCAGGTGTACTGCAGCAAGTGCCACAAGGTGATCCTGGAGAGGACCATCTCGATGTGTGATAATCGCTACTGGCACTCCGCCTGCCTCACCTGTTCCATGTGCGGGCACTCTCCCTCTCCGCACGGCGAGTCGCTGTACGCCTACCGGGGCAACCTCATCTGCAAGCCCGACTACATGCGCGTGAAGGCCGTCTGCTCCTGCTGCAAGCGCTCCATCGGCCCCTCCGACCTGGTGATTCGCGCCAAGAACTTTGGCTTCCTCCACGACACCTGCGTCTACTGTCGCATGTGCAGCAGCAAGCTCAACCCCGGCGACCGGTACTGCTGGACGACGGACAACCAGCTGGTCTGCCAGAAGTGCGTCGGACCGAATGGCAGCGCAATGATGGCCGGCGGCGGGCAGATGATGGCCGCGCCCAATGGACCGGGCCAAATGGATGGCGGCTATCACATGCAGGGACCAGGTCAACAGCAACAACAACAACAACAGCAGCAGCAGATGTCAGGAAGGCAAATGGGTGGTCCTGGTGGTGGAGGAGGAGGCGGTCCGATGAATGGCCCGTACATGGGCGGCGGAGGAGGAGGTGGACCGAATGGGTCGATGATTAAGATGGAGCACAACGGCTACGGCAATGGCATGAACGGCATGGGACACCACATGGGACAACCACCGCCGCAGTCCTCTCAGCAGCAGCACATGAACCACCACCACATGCAGGGACCAGGCACGCCCGGTGCCACTCCGACGCCCCCGCCAGCACCGACCACCGGCGGACGAAGAGGGCGGAAAAAAGCGGCACCGCCAATGTAAATAGCAGCAGCAGGAGGAGGAGGACACCGAGCCCAGCTATAAACCCCACCGGACAAGCCCTATAAATACTCAACATTGGTAATATAGCTTTCCAAAATGATTTCCCTTTTAGTCTCGCTAATCTGCTGTGCTTTAGTTTTTTTCAGAATCTCATCAACCCAACACCGGTGTCCACCAACTGTAAACCACCCATTTGTAATTACTCTAAATACTTCTCGCCAAACTATTCTCATCCCTCTCTCTCCTTCCTTTTTGCCGGGTTCCGGGAGAACACCTTCTTCTTGAACTCAGGACCGTTTTTTTGTTGGCCGACTTGTAGAGAGTTGTTTCGGTCAGCCCCTCCGCCGCCGCCACCACCACCACCTCCTTTTCCCATTTTCTATTCTCAGTATTTCACCGCTTCAACTGAGCACAATCATTGACTTCCTTCTGACCCCCACACTGTTTATATAACAAACTCTGCACTACGTTTCATCTTATATATTTTTCCCTCTATCTCTATCCAACTCTGTACTTTCATGAACTCTTTCTGTTATTGTTGCTCAAACCTACTACTGAATCTCGCTGAATCGGATTTTACTCTTTAAACTTTTATTTTCAACTCACTCTCATTCTCTCACTCAGACTGCACTCTCGTTTTGTCACATTTGTAGCTTTGCCAATTATTTTTCGGATTATCCATATTCGACTTTGATTACCCCATTATTCTTTTTTCCTTCTTTTCTTTTTTTCCTTTCTCTCCTTCTTTTCTTTATTCATTTCCTTCATTCTCAGCTTTAATTTTGCGCACAAGTTTTTTTACTTTTATTAATATTATTTATTTATTTTTTGTGTAATTTCCATTCATTTTTTTGATTTCAGTATCAGAAGAAAATGTACAAAATATATAAAAATAAAAAATACAATCTAACAACAACGGAGCTTAAACCTTGGCTCTTATGTAATGTTGCTGCTGATGCTGTTGTTATTGCACTGCTGTTTGCATTGCCCTGCAGTAATCTTCAGTACGGTAAACCAGATCAGACCAGCAGGAAAAACAAACAAATAAACAGGCAAGCTAAAGTGCACAACAGTTGTGCACTGCAAAATCAAAAAGTACTTTGGTCCAGCNTAATCTTCAGTACGGTAAACCAGATCAGACCAGCAGGAAAAACAAACAAACAAACAGGCAAGCTAAAGTGCACAACAGTTGTGCACTGCAAAATCAAAAAGTACTTTGGTCCAGTAAAAAAACTTTTTGTACAGTTTTCTCAATCTCGCATTCAAATTAGCCTGTTTGCATAAATTGCCGTACGATTAGCACTGGCTTCTAATGAGATTAGTGTAGAGCAAAAAACTGATGTCACGCAATTAAAGTGGAGATGAGTGGACTTTTCTTGTTGTGCTGTTCAGTGCATCGGATACTAATAAAAAATAAATAACACAAATGCTGATTAGAAATGCGATTGTGTGAGACACAGTAGTCTGCAGTTGGGTGGTTAATCCAGACGACAGGGACAAACTGGTTACATTTTTGGGTGACATTACCGATGCTCTCTGGAGAAGTTCAATTGATTTTGGCTGGTAGACCAAAGAAGCTGGTAGGCGTAGACTTGACCTGAATTGCTGCAGTAATCCCCGACTGTCTGTCTAAAGCCACCATGTGCTCACCAGCTGCCTCTGAATTACAGTTACGGTACGGTACAGTAGTTTTAGCAAAGACATGAGCACAAATACGCACACAAACACACTCACTTACACACACACATTCCTCGAGACTCACGGTGTCGCCGGGCGTCATAAAGACGTCACTCACTGACAGCCGCTCAATGATGATGATGATGACCGGTTCACTTTCTGTCTAGCACCTTTCTAAGACGTCGGGCTTTGCAGCTCAGCTCAACTCAGCGAAAGATGAATATGATAATTAGTGCCGTCTCATGGTCTCAGTGTGTGCTCACCAGTGTGCGCGGACATCGACCAGTGCGCACTGTTTGCTGATAAGAGAAGTGCAGCACAACTGATAAATAGCAGTGCAGGCAATCGACAGAGGGTGACTGCTATCTCACAGTCTGACGCAACACAGACGAACAGTACCAGCGCCACTTCTTCATCATCTTCTCTCTCCCTTCCGAAGTCATCGGCACTTCATCCTGGCAGATTTCGTCCTCTTCCCCTGTCACATCTTTCTTTTGCAGCCGTCTTTCTCTGAAGTGAAGCCTGTCCTTATGAGTATCTCCAGCCGATCGCAGCAGTCAAGCCCGTCCGTCCAGCCAGACAGTGCCCAAGTTCCTGGCAGACGACTCTACCAGGACATCTACTACTGCTACTCGCAATTCACCTGCCACCACCTCCTGGAGCTGCTGCTGGCACCATAGAGGGTGTGCACATTAAAGAAAGAATAAGAGGAGGGTAAGTGATTTTTATTGCCATGAATTGTCCAAAAGTAAGGTACAGTAGAAAAGTGTAGGGAGCATTATTATAAAAAGATGAGATTTAGAATATTACAAAAGTTATTGAGAAAAATAAAGGATCACTGGAAAGATGATGATTGCACTGCTGTTGCTGCTGCTGCTGCTGATGATGATGATGATTATCAAAACTCCTGGCCCTGTCCGCACTCGTAGAACTCAAATGGCCGCATCCACCTGAAGCGCTCATCAACGAGCCACTGCTTTCCCATCAGTCCCAGGCCACTGCTGCCGTCGTGCACTGCTGCGCCCTGGTTCGCCTGATTTGACAGGACATCGACAATGGCCCGCGCCTTGAGCACCTTTTCTTCGTAGTCACAACCTGAGGGTTGCTGTTTTTTCTGATGGTGGTGCTCTACGGTGCTGTACGCTGCACCCTGATAAGCGTACGGTTCATAGGAGTCGTACATGCTGCTCTCTTGCTGTACGGCGGAGTACTGACAAAGTAGCAGAGAAGGAAGGGTGCACAGGAGAAGGAGGAAAATGAGGGGCGACTTCAGTTGAGAAAACATGATTGAGGAATTGATGATGCACAATTGATGACTATAATGATAAGAAGGAAGAAGATATTGGTAATGGCGAATGAAGTGAAGTCTAGTGAACAAAGTCAAACACAGTTCGATCAGCCAATGAAGTGTGAAACAGGACTACGAGTTAAAGTAGAAGTGGCAGCAACGGCACTTACTCAAATTACTCCAAACTTAGGTTTTAAGTAAACAGCAAAAAAGCAGTTTGTTTTAAGTATAACTGTGCACACAGGTCTGTACTTCTTTACTTACCGTGCACTCTGCTGCACTCTTCTTTTATTCTCCAGTGCTCTTCTTTTGTTTTCTCGGCAATCGTATTCCGCGCAGTGAGTTTTAGTTAGTTTCAGTTGAACACAACAAATATAAAAGTTGAAGTCGCATCTGGTGAGCAGAAGCAACTGCGTACGGTGACATCTGAAAGTCATTGGCAGTGTACAGCAGACAAGGGAAGGGAAAAGGGAGCTTAAGAGGAGGATGTAGAAGAAGAAGATGATGAGTTTGTGTAGTGACTGTAGAGCAGAAAGAAAAGTGTTCTCATTGAGAAGATTCTAATCATAGAACCGTGTACATGTGTGTGTG